TATTACTTAACATATTTCATTCACTTGGAAGTATAATTTTGTGGTCTACTTAAGAGAATGTGATGTAACTTCTTAACCAGCATTCAGATAACACATTTGTAAGGAATTATCATCTTGATAAATCTGTAAATTATAGGACCTAAAAACCTATTGCAGAGCAACTTTGCCCTAGGGATTAAATGTTCTTAATCTCAGGTTTGTGAACCTCTTGGAGGGGAGTGTGAATCCCCAGAATTGTGTTCAAATATAAGTTTTTAGCCATATATGTATTTTCTTCATAGGAGGTAGGTAACTGTGCTTTAATCACAGTTTCAGTAGCATCTAAAATACCTTTCCTTTGTTTTTCTTCCCTTTTCTCTCTGTTCTTTCTTCTCTCTATATATAGACACACACTGTATATATACTACATCTTCTTAATCCAGTCATATGTTGACAGGCACACTTGGGTTGCTTCTGTGTCTTGGCTATTGTAAACAGTGCTTCTATGAACATTGGGCTGCATGTATCTTTTCGAATAAGTGTTTTCATTTTTTCCAGGTATATACCCAGGAGTGGAATTGCTGGATTATATGGTAGTTCTATGTTTAGTTTTTTGAGGAACCTCCATACTGTTTTCCATCGTGGCTGCACCAGTTTACATCCCTACCAACAGTATACAAGGGTTCCCTTTTCTCCACACCCTCTTCGACTTTTTAGATAAATTACTGGGAACAAGTGCCTTTCAGCTATTTTAAAGAAGACCAAGAATGAAATGCTGAGTTTTTGACAATAAGAGTACATTGTCATTATATAAACATAGCTGTTGTCTCAGAGACTAATAGATTGCAAACATGATACCCAGAGAGAGTAAAAAATCCTACAAATTCTTAAATTTTAAATCCATGATGGCAAATACTATTTTTCTTTATTTTCCACATTTACTAGAATGGGCATCTATTGTCCACATGGTCAGGAAAAAACATTTGTTGTTATTTTAAGTAGGAGACTATGATTTCGTTCCTTGCTCTTAAGTCATTTTTATCTAAGTAGGGGATTATAATTACAGATTTTAATAATGCTACAAAGCAGAGTATAACAAAGTTTATAAGAGCTGCCACTAATGTCTTTGGGAGTGGTTGCATGTTTTTAGACAAGAGTTACTGTTTTTATTTGGGGAAAGAAGACATTTGAAGGCAAGGAAGTTATGAAATTAAAAGCACAGGTGAAAAGTTTAACCTTGGCAGGAAGGAAGGTCTTTCAAAAAAAAACCCCACATTAAACAACTTGAAAATTTTTGCGTTAAGTATTCTAGTCTTAGAGCTTAAAGTTGAAAGCTGAGTTGTTAAATTCTAAACTAATGAAGGCTGTGGTATAGGGAGTACAAATTTATTTACATAAGCTTCTAGAACACCTTAAAGTTTAAAGGATCGACTTGAATAGTTAAGGGAAGCAGTTATATATTTGGTATGGTTGAAAACACGAGATTCAAAAAACAGTTTATATAAATTATTGGCCAGCTTTAAAACCTCTTTTGTTGTATTAAGGTGAACAATGAATCAGGCAACCTTACTCTTCCAGTAAGGAAATCTTTATTTTATTCAATTTTCCTAAAAGGGCAACACATCTCTTCTAGGTGGTACTTTCATAAAACAGAAAAAAAGAAATTGGAGTGGTGAGGAGAATTACATTAGGGATACTTTTGTTTAAAACATATTCCTGCACTGTTAAAAGTAACATTCTAAAGTTTCTACAGTATTTTGAGTAAAGCCAAGATATAGTTAAAATGTGTTTTTAATTTATTTAAATTACTTTTAATTTATAAATATTAATTATAAAATAATTTTTGGAGAAACTGAAAAATGAAGGGAAAATATTCTAATATCACCATCATAAAATAACTTTTAAAATTACTAGGGTTTTCATGTATTTTCTAATACTCTTGCTTAAGCAGTTTTATATTTTAAAAATACAAAGTATGCCTAAGAAGCATTATACAAATTGTGAGAATTAGTAATATTCAAAGATGATAAAATAAGAGTCCATATGCTCTGAAGAGGGTAACTGCTGCTGCACTCTGAAGTTAAAATATACACTGAGCTTCTAAATGGGGTTATTTTCCTCCTTGGGTCTCCCCAGTCTTGTAGAATCTAGTATAAAATTCTTAAATTTTCTAATTTACTACATAATTAAGTGAGAAGGAAGAGTCAGGATCCTAGAGTAAAATAAACACTTAAATAATTATGGGGAACTTGAATTTTGGTTTTGACCGAAGTTCTACCTTAATGACTTCGTAACTTCACTGAACTTCAAATGTGCTGAGCTTTACATGCATGAGTTCAATTCACACATATTTAATCTGAGCCTAATATGTCTAAGTTATGTGCCATGTTTCTGGTATATACTTAGACTTAAACTCTTAATAAACCAAATAACCTTCATTTACTATTACTTCTATCCCTCCAAGATGGTTTCCACTGTAATCTTCTCCAGCTTCTTGGGATGCATGTCATGTTTATTTATAGTAGAGGTACTTGTTCCAGCTCCTCCCAGAAGGAGGATTCCAATTTGATATCTACCTCAGCCCAGTTTTTATGCACCCATAACTCCTCTGGTCAGTTCTCTGAACTGAAGATTGGTAAGAATTGGCCCCAGGCAAGAATCAGAGCCTCTAAACAACTGAATAATAAAAAGCTTAGACAGAATAGTCATCTGTAAATCTAAAGACTTTCAGAACTTCTATACAAAGAATTATTTTGACCCTAGTAATAGAGGATTTTGTTTGACCTTGTAAATTTTATTTTTTCCCAGCTCCTCCCTGGCTTTGAATTACCAGTATGACAACTACTTCAATTTTAAATTCTTTGTTGTAGTAATAATTAACTTATAATAACACTTATATAGTGTTTATGTGTCAGGCATTGTTTACGTTTATTAAAGGTAGGTATTGTAACTTTCTCAAGGACATGTAGGTACATTGCTGAGCTAGGATCCAAATAAAGTTTGACTTTAGACTCCTTAACAACACAGTGCAGCTTTAAAAGTATACAACTCTCTGGCAGAAGACTTGTGTTGAGACTATATGAAGAACTTCTAAAAATCAATAATAAAAGACAGCACAATAAAAAATAAAAAAGACTGGGACTTCCCTGGCGGTACGGTGGTTAAGACTCTGCACTTCCACTGCAGGGAGCATGGGTTTGATCCCTGGTTGGGGAACTAAGATCCCGTGTGCCACACGGTATGGCAGAGAAAAAAAGAAAAAAAAGACTTAAAAAGAAGGCATATAAATGTGACCAATCAGCATATGAAAAAAATGCACAACATCATGCATCCATCATGGAAAATGGATATAAAAATCACAATGGGTTACCACTTATATACTTACTACAATGAGTAAAGTTTAAAAAACTGAAAACAACAAGTGTTGGCACAGATGAGGAGTAACTGAAACTATCATACATTGTTGATGGGAATGTACAGTGGTCCAATCACTTTGGAAAACAGTTTGTTAGTTTCTTATATAGGTAAACCTACTACCCCATGACTCATCAATTCCATTCCTAGGTAATTATTAAAGAGAAATGAAAACATATGTCTACAAAAGACTTATACAAGAATGTTTATAACAGCTTTATTCATAATAGCCAACAGCTAGGAACATTTCAAATGCCCATCAACATAAGAAAGAGTAAATAAATTGTGATATATTTATTCAGTGAGAGGACTCTGCTTAGTGGTAAAAAAAGAATGAAGTACTAATACAACAGCGTAATGAGTGAAAGAAGTGAGACAAAAAGGGTACAAGTCATGATTCTATTTGATTCCATTTATGTGAAGGCCCATAACAGGCAAAACTAATGTATATATTAGAAACCGGGGATAGCAGTGTTACCTAGGTTACCTATTTGATGGGAGGGAGGCTTCAGGGAATTTTCTGGAGTTCTGTATCTTGATTATCATGTTGGTTGTACAGATGTGTAATTTGTCAGAATTTGTTGAACTTTATATTTAATATCAATATGCCTTATGTGTAGGGTAAAGTAGAAAAAAAGCAAGGGGTAGATCTCACACAAGCACTCTGACAACAGAAATGACAACTGGCAACTTAACACTTAGAATGTGCAGAGACAATAAGTAGCACATAATTGTTACATTGAACCCCAGTTGATAGTAGTAATAACCAAGACATGTTTAAGTTATATTCAGTGTAATTTTCTAAGAAGTCAGCAAGGTATACCACTTTTAGAAAGGATTTCATTAATAATTATTAAAAGTTTTTACAACTAAAATGCTGAGATGTCAGTTATCTAGAACATTAGTATATGAAACATTACTTAGATTTTATGTAAAAAGTAGTTGTGGCTAATACTGGGAAATGATTCTAAATGGAATTAGAATATGGTCTCTCTTAAGAATAGTCTGCCAAAAAGAGGGCATGAAAGACCAATTTATTTGATAACTTACTAAAATAAAACACGTTTATATATATTTATGATTTAGATTCCCAGGTGTTAGAAATAATCAAAAATGTGTCTGAGCTAATAAGCATGTTTGTTTCAGCATTTTACTTATATTTCAAATATGTTAGAAACATACAGATGTCACAATTAAATGTGCTAAGATGCAGCAGTAATTTGTCCTGATTATATTAGGAGGTGAACATATATTAGATAAATGTGATGGCAGACTGTAGTTTGACCGTGTTTGTCTCTGGGATCCTTTGTTACATGTTCCATGGCAATCAGATGTGCTTGAACTACTCAAATGATGAATTGAAATAATCGATCTGTAGTCTTTTATTGTGAGATTGGTCTTCAAAATAAGTTAACCTTTAAGTCAGTTACTCTGTGGTTTTTGATCTTTTTCAATCAGGTTACTGTCTGTGGACTGTCATGGAAGTAGTAAACACTTTAGTTACTACACGTTAATTGATGTGGTCTTTGGCTTCTCAAGCAAGACTGACACCTTGGCTGTTTTTTGTTTATGGAAAAGCTAACTTCTAATCTTTGCATCTATTTTAGTAATAGTTATGCACGAGTGCGAGCTGTGGTGATGACCCGGGATGACTCAAGTGGTGGATGGTTACCACTTGGAGGGAGTGGACTAAGCTGCGTCACTGTCTTCAAAGTCCCTCACCAGGAAGAGAATGGCTGTGCTGACTTTTTTATCCGTGGAGAGCGACTCAGGGACAAAATGGTAATGAATAATGCATCTATTGCTATAATTTTAAAATTCTATAGAATGAATTTTCTGTTTAAAATTATGATTAGTATACTATTATTTATGAAAATTATTTTTGTCCAGGATCAATGATTGTTTCTGTAGCTCTTTTAAAGTTAAAGACAGCAAAATATGCCTGTTTCTTTGCAGCTGGGACTGACGTTAATGTGCATGTGTTAGAGGGGAGCTGCTTTTCTGTTAGGTTTAATGCAAGAACATTCATGAATAGTCCCCCTAGTTATTAACCCAGGTGCACCATCTTCCCCTTCTCCCCACTGTTGCCTAGACTGGAGGTTGGCACTATAGTCCACAGGCCACATCCAGGCCTGTCATGTGTTTTTGTACAGCCCATGAGTTAAGAATGGTTTTTACATTTTTAAATGACTGGAAAAAATCAAAGAGTAATAATTTTATGAACATGAAAATTATATGAAATTCAAATGTCTATGTCCATAAGTAAAGTTTTATTGGAACATAGCCAAGCTGATCTGTTTACATTTTGTCTCTGGCTGCTTTCACACTGCAGTGACAGAGTTGAGTAGTTGCAACAGAGACTGTAAATATCTGGCCCCTTATAGAAACATTTTGCTGGCCCCTATCCTAGACTCTTGTGTTCTCAGATTGTTTCTCTTCATCCCCTGTCAATCTAGTCTCATCATATGACTATCTGGTGGCCATCCTAGGTTTTAACTCTACTATCTTCCACCCAGACAAGTGTTTTCTTACATTCATATATTTAAAAATTTGAATCTAACCTTTGATAATGTTAGACGTCTACTCTCTCTTAATTAGTGTAGAAAGCTCTTTTTTATTTCATTTGTGAGCCAAAAACAAGTCATATCTAAAAAGCTGAGTAATGTTAATGTCATTCCTGCATTAAGCAGAGAGCATACAACTTAGAAGCAAAAAGAGAATAAAAGTGCCCAAAATTTCCAAGACTCTTGAACATAACTGTTATTCCCTTTAACTATATATCTGTGGATTAGTTTGTGAGCTCATTCAGCATCTATAGTATTATTTCTATTGAAAATGTGTTTTAAGTGTTGAATAATTCTTTTATACATGAACATTTTATACTACTTTTAATTTTGGTTCTTGGTTTCTGGATATTTTTTACTATTGAATTATTTCAGTAATTTTAAAAGTTGCCTAACTTGTCTTTGCTCCAGTTTCTGTCTCAGTTAACTAGAGAGTTTTCCTAAATCATCTTGAAAGCCTTCTAACTCTAATTTTTTGTGAGTTTAGGATTTACTACTGTGTATCTCAATTAACCAGAATGTGGTTTTAGGACTAGGAAACCCCATTTGAAGTCAGAAGTATATATGATAAATTTAACATGTCATCTCTAAAAGTTTAAATATTTTAATGTGGTTCTGGCCTTGGATAACATGGTGGCTAACATATACTGATGCTTATTTAAAATATGGCTTGTAGACTTCTAAGAGAGAGCCTATGGTGACCCGTCCTGGAGTGTAGTGCTTTTTGTCTGAGCTGTTGATAATTGGGGAGTGTTGGAGAAGAAGTTGTAGATTTTAGAAACTGAGTAAAATAGTGACAGTCTAAGACATTTTTTAATAGTAAAGATGGAAAAAGAGAAGAAAGAAGTCAAAGGTGGAGAAAGGGAGAAAAAAAAGCTTGCTAGAAAAAGCATAAGAACAAGGAAAAGATGACCTAGATGTGAAAAAGAGGGAAAAAAAATATCAGAGTGAAACAACACAGTCGACCCTACGTATCCATGGGTTTCACATCTCTGGATTCAACCAACCACAGATGGAAAATATTTGGAAAAGAAATTACAGAAAGTTGTAAGAAGCAAAACCTGAATTCTCCTTGTGCTGCCAACTATTTACATAGCATTTACTTTGTATTAGGTATTATAAATAATTCAGAGATGACTTAAAGTATATGGGAGGGAGGATGTGTGGGTTATATGCAAATACTATGCCATTTTATATAAGGACTTGAGCATCTGCAGATTTTAGTATCAGTGGGGGCTGGGGGGCGGATCCTGGAACCAATCGCCTGTGGATACCAAGGGACTACTCTATTGGCTATATTGATGAGCATGGACAGTTTACTTGAGGAAAATTAAATAAGGAACCAAATCTGCATCACTAGGAGTGAGGCTGGTCAGAGATAAGCTCAGATTAATGTTTTAGGTGGTTGCTGAGAGTGTGGCTTTGACATAAGCTTAGAGAGTAAGCCTGGGTGGGATTTGGACATAATACAAACTTATTTCCTAATGTGGGACATAAAAAAGAGCCCTTAACTTAATCCTAAGGTGTAGAATCATAATAGACTAACAAGAAAATAGGTTCTTTTGATAGAAGCACTTACCTAGGAATCAAAATGGTTGTTTCACTTAACCATTTCTCCTTGAGGAAGCTTGTTATTTGTGAAACAGGAATGATAAATATATCTCAGTGTAGACATAAAGGAAACATTACTTTCAATTGGAGGATTGTCTTAATTCTTGTAGGGAATAGTTATAATAAAGCATTTTAGGTTATGGGGAAATTGTATGATCAGAGGCAATAATGCATGGCCATAAATTGAAAATAGCAGTCTTGTGAAGTCTCAAGACAAATGGGACAGTGACATTGAAATAAGCAGATTAATTGGCCCCTTCTGCTGCATAATACACTTCTAAGATACTTCTGAAGCAATTACAGAATTGAAGTATTATTCTTTTACATTATCACCGCATTTGGGGGTCATTAATGTCCATTTCTATAGATATTTTTATTGATTGGCTTTATTTTAATCCATTTTTCTGGGTTCTAGTAATATAAAAAAGGTGTACACTGTGACTGTTGAATCTATAAGTTTACAAAGTTAATGATAGTTTTCTTTAATATCCTTCTTGATGAGTAAACTGAACTTTAATATTGTTCCTATGTAATAGTTAATCATGTAAAAGATAGTGCTACAAACTGTGTTCTCTACCCATTTTGTCTTTGGGTCACATCTTAGAGTCCTCTACCTTGGATGAATTCTAGAAATGAAGTGAGATACCTACCCCTCATACCTCAGGAAAAAACTTGTGTCCTTTAAGAAAGAATGGATAATTAGTAATGAGGTACCTATAGCCACTTGTGTAGCTAATAAAGAAATACTAGATAATATATATATATATTTTTTGTGGTACGCGGGCCTCTCACTGCTGTGGCCTCTCTCGCTGCGGAGCACATGCTCCAGACGCACAGGCCCAGCGGCCATGGCTCACGGGCCCAGCCACTCCGCGGCACGTGGGATCCTCCCAGACTGGGCCGCGAACCCATGTCCCCTGCATCGGCAGGCGGACCCTCAACCACTGCGCCACCAGGGAAGCCCTAGATAATATTTTAAAGAGGGCTTATAATAGTCAAAATACTAGTTACAGTAGTGAAGATGAAAGATGGCTTTTCTGAAGAGTGAACGAAGCATTTAGTAGAAGATTTTTCCAGTCTTAGATTTACAAGTACTTGTACTAAAAATGTCTTGTTACACTTCCCAGAGGGTTACATTTCACTTTTTTTCTTTTTTCTTTTTTTTTCTTTTTTTTTTTTTTTGATAAGAAAGGGAGCACAAATCAAGAGCAGGCTGATGAGGATTTTTCAAGAAGGTGGTATTTTGTATAATTTGCTCAGTATTCATTCATTCAGAGTGACCTGAAATTATTTCCTCTGATGCTTACCTATAACTTGCTTGTTTTTGTGATACTTACAAAGGTAGAGTTTATTTCCCAAGTTGCTAATCTAAATTAGAGTTTCCCAAGCTGTGTGCCATGAATAGGTTAAAGTGGCTGGAGCCTCCAAGTCTCTTTGCCTCTTAACCACTAGGCTCCTTCTCTTTTCTAGTTGCCTTATAATTGTTATTTTTCTGAGTATGCCTGAGAAATAAGTTGGAAAGCACTGCTTTATGTAATTGGCTTTCATACTTTATTGATAATTCAGGAGAAATTGAAAAAACACCAGGCTTTGGTGTTGTAGCCCAAGATAATGAAAGTACTTTCTCCCAGATACTTAGGGATGTATGGAATGGTCTTTGACAAGGATAGCTTCTCAGAACCCCTTTTCTTGATAGGTATGAGTTGTATCATCCATTTCCTTCTAAATCTTTATAGCTTTGATTTCTCCCTTTTATTCTTTAATATAAATTAGTGTTATCTTGGATCACATTTTTTTAAATGCTAACTAAAACTTAACTGTTAATTTGTATAAATAATCTTTATTGTAGAGCTTCAGATCCCCATGATAGAAACTTTCTCTTTTGCATTCATTTTTCTGTAGTGGCTCTTCTCTATTGGTGTGACATTGTTATTTTATAGGCAAACATTTTATCAGCTTACCATATGTATATGTTAAATTATTTGATCATTTTTAGTTGAATTGTATGTGATAGGAAAATCTAAAATACTGAACTATAATACACTTTTAAAGTCTTTGTAAGTACCTGAATAAACTTTCAATAATGATATTAAATTTTTGCTAAAATATTTACTACTAAACAAAGTTTTTAATAACTGTGGGGATCTAAATTAGCCATTCTTAAGCTTTTATTGTAGGACAATAAAATACTGTAAATTTACTAATTAATGTTATTGTGTTTTTTAAAGCATATTATGTGCTAAGAGATGACAAAAATCTAGTGGGCTACATAGAAAGGTACAGTAAGACTTACAACCACAACCTCTGTACTTAAGATGTTCTGTGGAAAGTAGAAAAAGGCACTGTTCAATGTCAAAGCAAACTTATAGCTATCATTATAAACTTAGAGTTTATAATAAGTATAATAATTGAAACGAAGAAAGGAAAAAGCAGAAGATATCAAGTTTAGGAAGTTGCCAAAGAGATTAAGGAATTGTTGTTTTGGATTAATAAGTAATTAGGTTGTGGATAAAAGTGGTTTATAAAAATTAAAATGCCTATGAGATAATAATTCTGTTGTTTAAAAAGATACATTTCTAAAATGGAGTTTCTTTACAGTTATTAGAG